CTTAGATTTATACAACTTGTCCTTGTTAATGAAAGCAGGATTTGTTGAGCATCTTTCACACATTTACAACATGCACAGCAAAACAAAAGAGCATCTTTAAACTCCCTCTAACAATTTATAAATCACCTGTTAAAGGCATGTCACTGTTGCAAAATGGTGGGATCTGTAGAGATGTTTTTCTTCTGAATGAAGAAGGAAAACAGGTCAGAAGTGAATAAGTCTTCTGCAACACACAGGTCAATCCCAAAGGTTGGAAAAGACTTGAGTCTTGAGTGGAGGTTTGCCTTCCAGTAGCAAAATATCTAGATATACAAGATCTACAACACAATGGTTTTTATCTCAAAACACATTCATGTTCCAGACAGGATCAAAGTCCAGACCTGAATCCAGTTTGGAATCTGTAGGAATATTTAATATTCCTGATGCTTTGAATGTAAGAGACATTGAAATGTTTTGTAAAGAACAATGTGGGCAAGCATTTCTGTTTCTTGATGTGCAAGGTTTTTTGAAACATAGTCCAAATTACATGCAGCTTTCATGCAGGAAACAGGTGTCTCAAGGTGTTGCCTCACGGAGGCCTAAAAACAAATGCAAAGCACACCTTCAGATTTTTAGTTGTATCCAAAATAAACCCACATATTTTGTATGAACTACAGTTACATTTTATTTATGCATTTTATTTAGACCTTTTGTGCCACAGTCTACATGACACAAAATAGCATGTAGAGTAATTTTGTTGGAAAATGGAATGATGGTAATTACACACACACACAAAAATGTTTGTAAACTTATGAATTTATTCTCTTTCAAGTTAGTCCACAAATAGTCATGACAAATCAATAAAAAGTTTGAATTCCTATGAAAAAGCCATAATAATTACTTTTAAAGTACATTATTGACAAATTTACTTTTGCAAAGTTCTGTTTTCAAAAGTGGATGCATGCAACTGCAACCTGAGGGAGGAAGATAAAAGATTTCCATCTCAACGTACAGTTCACATGAGTGGCATTCATACTCTTACATTTTTCTTTTGTTACATAACAATCACAACTGTCAAAATGTTGTAAGAAGATATTTTGTGGTCAACACAAAGTAGAATATATTTTTGAAGTGGACAAAAAGTGAAGTATGGTTTCATTTGTTTAATTTGCTAATAAAAATCTTTGTGCTTTGCAGATCTATTGATCTTTCTGTGCCAACATGTTGAAGAATCACCTTTCGGGTCTCTCAGGATGCGTCTTAAACGGTCAAGGCTGTGGATAGTGTACCCACATTTTTCCATCCATTTTACATTCATGCTCTACTGTTTTGGTGTAATGCATTAAGTCCTAATAAAAAGGACTAGACTCTTTGATCTTAACATGGCCAAATGTGAGTTTTCAAAGGTATAACACATTTATCTAGTAAATTTTACTATACATTACCAGACAAATCCCACCAACTGAATAATGTACAACATCAAATAGATAAAATAACCAGTTGCTAATTGTTTGCTCTACTTGAAAATTTGTTCAATCTATTTTTGGGGCTCAACTGTTTTCTCCTTTGATTATGTTAGACTCCCTCTCTCTTGTAAAACCATTACAGTCACAAAAACAACAACTATTTTAAGACAAACACAAAGATGACAGACACTCTGTCCTTTACTTAACAATAGGATTACCTTCTTAAACAATGCTAATGCTCTGTAACCTTAATCCAAGCAGCTCAACCACACTGAATGCTGTAAGGAAGCTCAGCAGGGGAGGAATAGTTGTGATGAAATGTGGTGACAGTAACCAATGTCAGATTTCAGGACTCTTTATGAGCAGTTTGCTTTCATTATAGCAGCTAGACTATTGTTTGGATTGTTCACATACCAGCAAATAACTCTGCTGCTTCTCACATAAGATCATCTACAGTCATGGAAAAAGTGAACCCTTGAAATGGCAGAGGATGTACTTTCTTCTTAGCTGGAGTAAAACAAATTGATCTTTTGTGGCATCACAAAGGTTTTTAATGCTCCACAGCATGAGGAGGAGGTTGAACAGGTTCTACAGGAACAGCTCAGTGAATTAGATTATTTAAAAGGCAGTCATTCAGTAATTTGTTTTGTAGATTCATCTCATGCAGAATCAATTGTTCACTTTGCTAATTATAGCTTACAGACAATTAAAATTACACAAATGAGCCAAATGAAAAGCCTCCCTTTCATAGCATACATGTGAAATTAGAGGTGGAAAAATGTTTTCAATTATTTGAAATAGTCTTTGTTTTTTTTTTTAGCATTGGGTGGACATCCATGGAAGTCTCTATTCCCTTCATTTTTACTTAATTTTCAGATGGAAAGTCCTGTTTTGAGTTTCTAGTTTTATTCTGTCTGGGCAAAGAAATCAATTCAAACTCCACAACATTTTACATTCACATTTTTAGCCAGTCTTTGGTGCTTGCAGTCTCTGTACAGAAGAGGCCAGTAGAGGTACTGCACATCTCAGCTCTGGCTGCTTCTCTACAGTTTTATGACCGATTAGCACGGTTCAATATATTATGCAAGAAGGTAAAACATAGCACATCTTTTATGGAAACTGATTACCTACATTATGGGTGTAATAAACCATTAGAGAGGTCTCTGAGACAATAAAATAAATGTGATTGATTGGACTCATGAATGAGAGCACACTCTGAGGTGAGGTTCGCCTCTGCCTTCATCCATCTCCCACCTGTTTCAGTAGGACATATTCAATACCAGAGAGAATACCAGTAAAAATCACTGGTTCATAAGGAAACCATTCACAGCACCAAATAAACATGATATGATATTTTGTGGTTTACTGATTATTTTATTTTTATCACTGCAACTCTCCTTTACTGGGCTGAAAACCTCCCGAAGACCGATACGACGGCATGAAAAAACAAACAGTGGCCATCTCAAAAACTGACCTACAACCACAATGTAATTGTTTAAATTTTGTCGATTCCCTTTCAACCATTTGTTTGTATTTCTACTAATTTTCCATGTTAAAATGTTTCAGCTCTGTAATACAATAAATAACATTTATCATGCCATTTCTTATTACTGGTCAGCATTGCAATATGTGCTACTATAATACATTTACAAATTTCAGCAAATAATGTGAATACATAAAATAAGAGATGATAACCATTATCCTGTGACTTTGGTTTTGATTGCAAAGCTCTCATCCAATAATCATCCAATTTAATCCATAATGCAATAATACTATTCTGACAAATGTGGCTGACAAATTTGTTAACAATTGAACTTAATCTACTTAATTGTAACTTCAGATTAAAGTTATATTTGGTTAAGCTGCTCTGCCACAATTTCAACACGGGGTGGCAGTGTGACACCTTCTATTGATTTGAGAGGTTCCCTCTTAATCATGGGAATCCAGTTCTGCAGTCAAAAGCTAAGTTAAACTGTAGAATCAGTCTCAATTGTTGGACAAATATAGTACAATATAACAGGAAAAAATGCCTCAAATAGCAAAACCAAACAAGAACTTCTTGGGCTGGTTCACGAATAAACAGACAAAAATATAACTTTAAATGCTTTTATTCAATTTCAGTTAATAGATCTACAACAGCAACCTTACCAAAAAACACAGGTACTCAGGCAGTCTGTCAAATGTTCAGAGATGAAGTAAAAGTTTTGACAGCAACCCCACCCATAGACTAAGCGGACAAAAGTGAGATTTACAGAAACATAGCAAAAGGGTCTGTTTCAAAACACTGATCTACAACCCTTTCTAGTCTTTAATGGCACTGGGTGATTTTACAACTGGAACTAATTCACAAGTAATGACTTCTTACCACCATCAAAACAAAAACCAAGTTTCTTATTTGCATGTCGCGTCATGTTCTAGAAAACTCACATCATGGCCCAGATTTTTTAACTTCTCATTGTACCAACAGCTGCCGTCACCGTGGCCATTTGGACCAAGCTCTTAATGCCTCACATTGACTGATAAGCCAGCATGAACAGCTCTAATCAGCAGTAAAACAGGCTGGAACATGAAAATGGAAGATAAGATTTGCCATTGCAGAGCCTCACAGGGTTTCTTTTAGTTTCTTGTTCTTAGAATTTCCCTGGAGCTAACATTTTTGGATAATTACACAGTTTACAGAGATAACAAAAACACAAACTTTATCTTTACCTCACAAATTAGTGTGTTTGGTTAAAATGTTTGTGCTCTTGGCCTGGAATCAAGTATTACAGCTTTTTCTGTGAATATATGTATAAAAGTGTGTAAAACTTAACTGTTAACAAGACAACATTTCAACAACATTGTGAAATATATTTTGTAATATGTTATTTGATGCTATTGGAGAACAAACATGGTGTGTGTGCATGCATGTTTGCTCTCATTGCTGGACTCTAACCCTCCACGTTGGATGTTGGCACTGTCAGTATGGGGCTGAGGGGGGTGAACTAAAAGGAGAAAAAGGTAGAGTGCACAATCTAAAACAGCATCAAAACAGGCATGCAATATGAAAGTTGGGCATGCATTTTTACCAAAATATTTGATATGCGATGACATCTGTTTATCTTATTTTCTCCCACAATTGTGTTGGTCCATCACATCTTTATGAATAAGATTTTTTCAGTGATAACACACTAAAGCTTTCATGGCAAAAACAATAAGGAGAAACTCCTAGGCGAAACTGCGAAACAAGCCGAAGCATGTTGAGGCAAAGAGTATAAGGTCAAAATACTTATTGCCTCTTGGGGAAAAACACAGCACATGTTGTGGTAGCTAATGAGAGGTGTATGATTTATGTACGACCAAATATCTTCCCATTACAGTCTTTTCTAAAATTGCATTTATAGACAGATGGACAAAGTTCAGACATTTTTATGTGGTATTTTTATTTCAGATAACTTAAAGAAATTACAAAAATGCTCAGCTTTTTTCCACAACACAGAATAAACACCATATTATATATATATATATATATATATATATATATATATATACATGTGGACAAGTGCAGGGTCTTGCTTGTTTTTTTTTATAGTATTCAGCAATAAATATAACATGGATATTCAGACAGTTTGGTTTCATTTACAGTACAACATTGGAATCTCATTGTTCATCCTCCATGTGGTTGGTGGTGGAACACTTTTTCAGGATTGTGTTAAAGTATATCTTCAGAGGCTGAAGATGACTTAGTTGGCTTCGACGAATGACTGGTAAAGAGACATGAGTTGGGACTGGAGGTTCTGAGCATAGGGGTCCAGTTTCTCTCTCAGGTCCTCAGCATAGGGAGCCACAATTTGCTTCACCAGACTGGCTCTCTGGGTCAGTTCTACCTGGACCTTCTCGGTCACAGGGGCTATGCTTTTCTGGAACGCTTCCAGGTGCCGGTCAACCTTTTGCTTCAGGTCATCTGTGTAGGGTCCCAGTTGAGCCTGCAGGTCCTTCACGCTCTGCTCCAGGTTGGTCTTCAGCTCTTCGCTCTTTTGAATCAAGGTGGATCTCAGTGCTTCGGAGTCCAGTGAGTCTGCATAGGGGGCCAGCTCTTGCTTGAGCTGCTCAACCCTCTGCTGGATCTGGGCCTTCATGTTCTCTGTGTAGGGCTCCAGTTTGCCTCTGACGGAGCTGAGCTCTTGGGTCAGCACACTTTTCAGCATGTCAGCCTCTGTGGTGATCTTGTTCATAAGGTCCTCGGCTGCGGGGGAAAGCTGCTCCTGCAGGGTCACGGCATACTTGCTGGCTAAGTCAGCACTCTCTGTCAAGCGAGCACTAGATGACCAAAACAAAACAAAATGACTGTCAGCTCATCTACGATTGTGTAACATGCTGCAGAAGATAAGCCTCCCCCTTCCAACTCCCCTCATGCAACTTACTTAACTTCCTGTCCAATTGGTGAGCTCCTAATCATCTCCAGAGTATCATCAGCTGTTTGTGTGGCCTTGGCAATGTAGTCCCAGAAAGCATCAGTCAGCACTTCTAACTTTGGCTTTGGAGCATCAGCATAGAAGAGGTTGGCATTGCAGCCTTCCAAAATAAAGATGTCAACAAAGGTTATTTTCTGACCTAATTTATTTTGTTACTATTTCTTTATTTATTACTATTATTAGTCCTTGTTGATTTTATTATTACTCTTTCTGCATTTAAATGAGAGCATCTTACCAGAGAGCACTGCAGCGATTAGCAACACAAACACCTTCATGACTGCAACCTGCTGAAAGACATTAATATTTAATAAGCAATTCCTACTAATAAGGCTACATCAACACTTTTAGATTTTGATGTAAATATGTATTCCTGAAGCGCAGTGCTTGTCTCACCTGCTTTGGGGTGTGTGTATCTTTCAGGCCTTACCGTGTTAGTAACTGTGTCTCTGTGTTGCTTCCGTCTATATATATAGAAGTCAGATGACTGTTGTAGTCAAGAGCCCAAAGTCCAGGAGTCCCTGCCATGCTGTCACAACCGCTCTTTTTCCTATATCTACTGTTTTTTGTCAGCTATAGTTTCACTGAATAGCTGAATGGTGGAAAATATATACAGAAAAATCCTCTTTGATTTTCAAAACTGTTTGCAGAAAGCTTTAAAAGTGTGCAGTTTTTAAGGTGTCAACATAGTCCTGCACTACCAGTCACTAGATAACTTAAGATAACCCTGTTAGACTTGTGCACTTTGTCTTCAGGTCAAGCTTCACGAACTAAGCGCTATCAAAATGGATTCACTTACATTGTTCTTCTCTTAATTTTAGCCAATGGAATTCAAGGTATATATTTTCTAAATGGAATTAAGTTTTAACTAAATAATATAGAATTTTATCTAATTTAAGGATTTTCTTTTATTTATTCAGGAGATGCCTGCTGGACATTTCTATTTGAAATAATTTTATGAGTTGACCACCAGAGGAGATATTTTTAAATGAGTGTGAGAATAATACAAAGCACTCCAGGACAGCTTTGTCCCAAAAATATTCAGGTTAGTGTCCTGCTGGAACATAATGCTCCGCCCCAGTCTCATGTCTTCTGTAGCCTTTAACAGATTTCCTCTCAGTCTCCTTTTCCTTTAGCTTTCTTGACAACACTTTGTGTTATAAGTAAAATTTTACTGACTCTAAACAGCTTCTCTGTCCATGTTAGACAAAAAGCTAATTTTCGGTCTCACCTGAAGAGAGTATTTCTTCTGCATGTTAGCTGTGTACCCTACATATAACAATCTGCAAACTGGACTTCTTTGGCTTCATTTCAACAATGGCTCACTTCTCTCCACAAGTCTGTGCTCTAAGCTGATGATTGATTCTTCTAATTATGTTTAAAATCAATATATGGGTTTCTTGGCTAATCGCCATATCTTGATTGGTTTGCAGTTGTGCCATATTCTTTCCATTCTTGGATGACATCTTGAACTGTGCTATGGGATATATTAAACTCCCTGGACACTGTTTTAAGATACAGTCAAAAAGTACTTTCATTTGTGGAAAAGAAGTGGAGATGGTGGAGGAGTATAAATAACTTGTTTTTCACCTGGGCGAAGACTCAACAACAGATGTGTTTCCAGTGATCAATTGGAATCAGAAAAATACAATTGTTAATGGCAATTTTGAAAAAAAAGAGACAATCCAATTTTTTAATAAAAAGTTTTTGTGCATGGATGTGGTGGTTTTTTGACTTTATTGGAAATAGTTTATTTTTCAAAACTTAAATGAAAACACTTTTTTGCATCACACAATGTGATCAGCAACTAGTTGTCACCATGGGCAGAAGAGATGAAGAAGACAACAGGAAATGAGAGGAAGATGATGGTGATGCTTATTTTTTTAACGACTTATCTTGTGGACAAACGTATTCACGTGTGATTTTAATTGTGTACCTTATTTAATGAAATTACCACAATTACAAATTGCGATTTTCCAATTTTAGCAGAATATTGACAAAGTTTTGCACACATTTGTAATGGAAACACTGCTAATGATGCCATCTATAAGAAAGTACAAAAAAAAAAAAACTCCTCAAAGAAGCTTCAGTCCACCAATGTGCTACTTATCATCTTGCACAAAACCCCAATGAAAGATAAAATGCACTCAAGTTTCTTGTCATAATTTTACAACACATTAGAAATTTAAAGGCACTTTTGCTACTTTAAACATTGCAAATGGCCTAATATTGTTCTTTGAGTGAAAAAGGTTCATAAATCAAGAAAACTCTAAAATGCGTTTATGAGAATTGACCTCTGACACATCTAACTGAAGCAGAAGCTACTTTGTCCCTCAGAGGCTGACGATGCCTGAATGTACTAACCTTTGGTCAGACAGATATGCAAGACTTCTGAACATTGGCATGACACAAAAGCAACAGCTATTAATCACCCTGAAAGTTGTTGGCACAATAAAAAGATTACAGAAAAATACTGTATGTCTACTTAAAGTTGGAATTCAGTGACGGTAATGTTGTGGATTCTGTCTGTTGTAAAGAGCTGAAGGTTTTCAGATGAACAAAAGGTCAAATAGGGTTAACACTATGGATTTAGTTTCACTGCTGTAGTCATGAAGCACAAACACATTTTTATGCAATAACATAACAGTGTAATCTTGATTTTATATTGATTATTTTCTCTTAAAGTGGTAATTGTACAGGATAAGACCAATACTTAAATGCTATTTCTGGGGCAGAAGAGGCTTGTACTTGCTTGTTACATAGATTGTCTGCTACAGAATATCAGCAGGGAAAGAAGGGTGAGGCAAGGTGACAGCAAAGCACTACCTCTTGGACTTTGGGATCATTACTGTCCAAATTCACTATATAAGCTGCAGAGCTTCATCACTTCAGCACCAGCACAACTGAGCGGATTTACAGACACTCTTGTAAACTCAGGTAAGAAGAGGAAATGGCGGAAGCTCTTTTCATCTAAGCTTACTGAAGGAAAATGCTTTTGTGACTTATTTTTTTTTTCTTGTTGTAGCTTCAAAGAGCCATGAAGGTCCTTGCTGTGCTCGTCCTGGCCGTTTTCACCGGTAAGTAAGCTGGAGGCAAATCAAAATGAAGCTTAAAGTCTTGTTAATGACGGAATTGTACCTTCAGACAGCTGCCGTAGTTTCAAGTTATCCTTCTATCCGTCCAACAGGCTGCAATGCCAACCTCTTCTACGCTGACACTCCCAAGCCACAGCTGGAAGTAATGACTGATGCTTTCTGGGACTATGTCGGTAAAGCCACCCAGACAGCTGATGACACCCTTCAGATGATCAGAAAGTCCCAGTTTGGCCAGGATATCAGGTATGACATACACCATCACATGAAGCATGGTTTTTATTTAGTTTTGCAGAGTGTAAACTCACTGTCTCCTGTTATTTGTTCAGTGCCCGTATCACCGACGGCACTGAAGCAGCCAGCCAGTATGCAGTCACCCTGCAGGAGCAGCTCCCACCCAGAGCCCAGGAACTGATCACCAGAGTCACCCAAGAGGCAGAACAGCTGAGAGATCGCTTGAACACCGATCTGAACAACGCCCGGGAGAAGCTGGAGCCCTACACTGAGAACCTGAAGGTCCAGATCAGAGAGAGAGTGGAGCAGCTCAAGCAGGAGCTGGCCCCCTACACCGAGAGTTTGGATACTGAGACCCTGAGGACCACCGTCATCCAGAAAAGCGAGGAGCTGAAGGCTCAGCTGGAGCAGAGTGTGCAGGAGCTGCAGACTCAACTGGGGCCCTACACCGACGACCTGAAGCAGAAGGTTGACCAGCACCTGGAAGACTTCAAGCAGAGAGTCGCTCCCGTCACCGAGAGAGTCCAGGATCAGCTCACACAGAGAGCCCAGCAGGTGAAGGAAATGGCTGCCCCATACGTAGACAACCTGAGGGAGAGGCTGGACCCCTATGCCCAGGACCTCCAGTCTCGTCTCACCTCCCTCTATGAATCCTACATCAAGACCAACTAAGTCAAACTCCAGCTGACTCTGAACCAAAAGAAACTGCATCAAATAAAACAGAATTTTCTCCTGGATGCCAGAAACATGGCAGTACAACTTTAATTTACCTGTTTTGGAAAAGCTACAGTTGTTAGTTCATGTAACATTGTCAACAAGGTGATACATAACAAATGCATGTTGGTCTGTGACCATAAGGTGTCCGCTCTCTAATTTATGAAAATAAAACAAAAGCAAAAGAAACTTGAGATCCTTGTGTATTTTTTAATGAAATGGGTTGAAGTTTAAAATGTATTTGTAATATTTTATTTTCCAGCCTTTCAACAAAAAAGACAGAATATGTTTAAATATTATAAAAAATAAACAAAATAAAAAAAACAGCAACTGTTTAATTTACAAACAAGCAAAGAAAAAATATTCTGTAAAAATGATGCATAAAGGTGAGATTTCACAAGAATTGTCTTGTTTAACATCACACCTTTCTTCAAGATCAGCTGCTAATGATTGGGTACTTATGGGAAATGAAAAGTAAAGAAAACATTTATATTTAATTCTTACTTAATGATGTTTATGTAATTATTATGTTCTATTACCGGGAAAGGTTTTGTAACATGAATGAGACTGTAAAGTGTCTTATTGCAGACAAATCTTCCTAATTACTAGTAGTTTTCCTGTCAATATGAGCAGTGGATTAGTACTGCTCCTCCAAAGTCAACCATGTTCCTTTTGCCAATACTTTTTGTCAGAGTTTTGCAAATAGTTAACTCATGAATACGTTTGTCTCTCTACTCTAAGCTGGAAACAATGTGAGGTGGCCATGCTGTTCTTGGAGAAACCGGTTTCAACTCGTTCAGAGAGACCCCTCTACTCCTTATCTTTAAGAGTCTGTTTTATGACTGACCCCCACCCTGCTTTCAGTAAAACCAGGCTGTCGCAAAGGGACAAATTGGAGTTGCCCTAAGGCACCACTGAGACTCCCCCCCCTTTGCAAAGGCTGGAATAGGGGGTTAAAATACTTAACACTTTTGCCAGGCACTATAAGTGCTGCAGAGGCAAAGAGTTGCAAGTTTCAGACAGGCGTATTCAAAACAGACCATCTGAAAGGATTTAGGAAAGTAGGTCTAAATTTCATGCAAGATATTTTTTTTATCAAACTTTTTTTGAAATGATCTGTAATTAAAGCAGGGTAAGGAGAATGAGGTCTTAGCATAAAACAGTGTTTTTAAACTCAAATGTTCAATGTAATCAGTGATACTTAGAATCCTGAAATACAACCTGCTTTAACACCTAAAACAATTCTTAAATGTTATAAAATAACAAAACAGCTTGTCTTTAACACTAGACATCAATGATAAGTAAAGACATGAATTAATACTGAGAAAGAATTGAGTAACATGTCTTTTCTATGTCCCATTTACAAAAACTGCCCCCAACACCCTCCTCCACGCCCTCGTACTGTGGAGGGCATGTTCAA